ATTAATTTATTAATTTAAATTCAATCGTTATCAGACGCGATCTTTGACTGTGCATGAGCCGCAGATCGATAGTAATTACAGCCGTATACGACAGAATGTAATTGAAGTATCATCCAGAACAACGTAGTCGAAAAATAAATCCAATATGAAGTACTCTCGACCTCTTTCTACTCTTATTCAGCAATAATCTTCGTGGCGCTCAGCACGGCGTTGCATCCTAATGTAACTCAAAGATGCACTGCTACGCATATTACGGTTATTTTTCTATAACGGAAATAACGGCAGCTCGAGTACGAACAGCTACTAAACAATAGAAACGGTGTATCTTCATATTCTGTACACATTTGCATGTGCTAACCGTTACAATTAATGCGCAGATTTCCGCATTCGAATAAATTAAAAATCATTTATTATAATTCTCTTTCGATTTGTAAAATTTCTAAACCTCTTCCGGGGATACCCAAAATACATACAATAAATTCCTAACTCGGTTGGAACATGAGAACAAAGCAATCTCCAATCCAATTACGCGTTTGTGTCAATTGTAAAGTCTCGATTATTTTTTTCAATTCGTTTTTGTTAATTAATTCATTAGCAATTGTGTCGATTAATCGATATCTCAATAATCAAGATCTATTCTCAGTTTTTTTCTATCCGTTTTTCTTTTCTCTATTCGATTTTTCTATTTAATTTAATTGGCCAATTATTATATAAACGTTATAAAAATTAGCTCTAATTAATCGATACTTTTTTCATTTTTATTTTAAATATTTTTTTCTACAATTGGATAATCTAATTCTTATTTTTGGCGCAAGAATTATTCGAATGAGAAACTATTACTTTCAATATCCTGTTTCGCGTAATCTATGTATTTATGGTCTAAAAGAAGTTTGTGTAAAATCGCCGTGAGAAAATCTCATCGATATAAGTCTACGGCGCAAGAGCTCAACACTGTTAATGGCGTGGACGATTGCTCCATTGTAAATGTATGATGAAATAACCCATATGAACGTGTACTGGCTTAAGGTGGTTAATCGAAACGATTAAAACCGGTCTCGTATTGCCAAGGGTCATCCTCGTGTTCCTAGATATTATATAAGGGGCTAAACAATCCCTTGGGATTTTCAAAGAAAACATTAATTAAAAATCAACGTTTTATTGATTAAATTATCGCGATTAACTAATCTCGAAGATACTGTATAAATTTGATGAAAAATTGTGTAGATATGTAGATTATATAATTATGTAGGAAGTACAGTAATCGTAACAGAGAAAATAGAAAAATTAGATTTTAATAAATGTGTTCCTCTGATTGTGAGTTTAAAAAAAAAGACAAGAAAAATATGTTAGATAATCAAAATTTTATCAAATAATTTGTAAAAAATGTCGAATATAAAATGTATTGCACAGGAAAAATTTAATAAAATTCTGGTAAAGTATAATTTTAAAGAAAATTAATAACAAAATGATTTGTTTACGTAGTTATTCTAAATAAAAGTGGTGCAACATGCATGTTAGCAAAAGTAGGAAATATTGTGTACCAAGCACAAGAATGTAATATCGTTACGGAATATACGCGCTTCCAGTTTACGTTTGCTTAGTTTGCTAGAAGATGCGGAAGATTCTGCGATGATACTGGATATTATTTCGCAGGCTGCGATTAGCGGGAAACGACTTATGCCTGCCGATCCTTATCGTAGCCGATCATCAAACACCTTTCTATCTGCCAGTCTATTATAGTTCGAAGATGCGAAATACTAGGCGCATGAGTGAACGCATAGATTTTCGATACGGTTTAACGGTAGGCAGGTGTGAAAACATTACCGACATTTTTATCAACTATGAGAATCGTAGATCGAGTATATAAGGTATTTTACGGTTAATGATCGACAAATAAGCGTTCATGTGATTATACAATATATAGATATATAGACCCGTTTAGACCTCTTTACTCGATTCGACTTTTCTCTTTTCTTCTCCAACGTGGAGAAGACTAAAAAGGTTCAACTAAAAAGAATAGGTCTTATTTAATTCTTATAGTATCAAGATCTGAACTTGATTAAAAGTTAGCAAACAAAAAATATTTTATTTGTAAGAGTAAGAAATAACTTAAATACTACACACGTTCTAATTATAAAAACGATTCTAATTATAATTTAACAAAAAATAACTTCTTTTCAAAGAAAGAGAATAATCATAATCATAGCCTTCAGAAATATCATTTCATAATTTTAAAAGTTCCAGACTATAAGTGTAAAAAAATTATTTTAATATACTTTATTCAAATCAAAGCGGAAAATTTTTATTTTATTCACAACTAAATAAGTATGATGTTAAAATTTTTTCAGTTCTCAAAAAAAATTTCGTTTGTACAAAATATTTAATTACGCAATAGAATTTAATTTATATTTAATATAATAATAATTTATTAAGAATAATATATTTGTATTAATTTTTTAAAATTTAATATATTGTTTTTAAAATTTATATTTCACAAATGTTTTAGTGATATTTTAAAATAAAATATTTATTAACGTAAATTAATGTTTCATCAAATGTTCTACTATAAGGATTTTTCGTTTTTTTCGGTCTATTATTTCTTTGTCTATTATAAGACTTTGGAGAAGATGTATTTGCTTTCAATGCAGTTTAGCAAGAGACAAGGAACAGGACCACCGGTCGTTGATAGCGGTTCTACCAGCAATCCACCGGTGTTCATAAATCAGCATGGGGAATACGTACGAGATAATGATGAGGGACGAAGACGATGATGAAGAGTCTATGTAGGAGCGTTTGAATGTTACCACCGGGACAACTGATACAGCAGGCGATCGGAAATTTACGACGCACGATAGTATCGAAATGGAAAGTCATAGTCCGTCTTTAGAATTGCAGAAGGTTTATGGTCTAGTCAGTGTGGCTGATAATCAGAAAATTGAATGACAGTTAGAAAATTGGATGTCTGCTAAATGTCGAGGTCGTAGAGTTATTATACAAAAAATTTAGTTATTATATTATATGTATATGTAAATATAAATATATATATATATAATATGTGTGTGTGTGTGTGTGTGTGTATCCGCATTTCTGAACTGATATAAAGAATATGTAAGAAGGAAGATGATGATGAAGAATCTATAGGAGTGTCTAAACGATATGGATAAAGCTGCCGACATGACAGGTAATTGAGAATTTATAAGCTACAATGCTATCGAAAAGGAAAGTTACGGATTGCGCTTAGAATCACGGAGTGTTTATGGACGTAGTCTATTATAGTATCGCGATATAGTTTCCAGACACAATCTCTTATGTTAATTTGCATTTTCTAAATTGCTAGAAAGGCATAGATCGTTATAGATTAATATGTATGATTAGACTCTTATAATATTCAAAATCTCAGTAACTGAATCTTAATGTAAGAAAGAAAAATGAAAGAGAGAGAGAGAGAGAGAGAGAGAGAAAGAGAGAGAGAGAGAGAGAAACATCCTTTCTGCATTAGTTTCATTTAATATTAATTGAAGGAAAAAATTTCTTTAAAAATACTTAAGCTTGATAATATCGTATAATATTTTTACGTTACTATTTTATGAATTATGACATTTTTATGAGAACAATATAAACGTAACATGAGGAAGATGACCACATCACGCGATAATTGCAGCGATTACATGATTAATATACTGTCATGAGTAATATACTGTCAAAAATATCAACTTCTACCAAAAGTGTCCTTGTCTTTCATATTTATGATTGATTATACAATCGATCGACATCTAATACATCGAAATTATTTATCGATGTAAGAAAACCTAAATTGAAAAGAAATATTGGAGTAAGGTGTTAGTTCTGATAATATATAATTTGTTAAATATTCGTTCATCATGTATGTTTGTAACTACATAATAACTATATTCATTCATCATGTCTGTTTGTAACTGTGCAATAACCATAAATGCGAGATATTACTCTTAACGCTTCGACGGTACGAGAAATAACGATAATCGATTTTCCATCTAGCAACGATTCCAACAAACTACACTGATAATGAGAACGCGCGATCTCTGTATATTTCAGGCGAAGCATACGCAACGTTATTCTACTTTCTAAGTTATTATTGGATTAATTTCTCCTGTACAAGGTAATTTTAACTTTGAATTTATAATCAGAGGATTATTTTTTTATACGATAATGTCAGTTAACAATGACTCAATTAAAAAAGGTCAGGTTGTCTATTATACGTTAAAAGACTGGATTCGAGGCTAAATGAGACCTTTGTATCGTACATCACACGCGAGCTTTATGGAGCTTCGTATAATTCAGTGTCAGTTACCATTACATTGTTTCAGTGCCGTACGTCATTAAGTCTCCACTGAATAACGACTTGATGGAAATTACAGTTACTTTCTTTTCGAACAGAAAAAGTTACTGCGAATCTGTCAAAATGCAGACAATATCATTATGATGCACAAGCTTTTCAAAGTTTTGCAAAGTAAATATCAAAATAAAAAGAATAAAATAAGAAAAGAATTTTTTAATTATTTAAATAATATTGATGAAAAATACACAAGGCCTACAAATTTAATTATTTATCCTTTTCTCTTATATGCTAAGAATCTGAAATTTGATAATCTTAAAGTCAATTTCAAAATTAAAATCGCGATATTTTGTACATTATACATTAATGCGTTAATCCGTTTAATTATAAGTCTGTTTAATTATAAATCTTCAATTACTGAAACAGGAAGCATCAATCGTTTATAAAACTGGTATCTATTACATGCTTTTTCCATCTTTCTTATTAAGTTTATAACTAGGAAATTTGCAATTGCACAACATCCTGTAAACAACTGACAAGCTTTTCTGCCAGAGGTATTTACTGATTATATATCCCAATTATATTCCTATTCATATGAAAATATAGAGATATTCATATGAGATATTGATAAGATCATGCGAATGTACGCAATCAGACTTAAGTTTGATATTAATGCGAAACTTACCAACGAGACGGATCGTTGCTGAAGCTTGAGACCCAGGTCTTCTTTTTCGTCTCCGCAGTCGGTCGTATAGAACAGCACGCTCTTCTTAGATCCCCTGGAAATCAACCCTCGTTAATGTCTCTGGCGGACAAGAAGAGGCGCGGGTCTTGTACTTTAGATCTCTAAGCTCACTTTATGAGACAGGAACGTGAGCTAGAATTCCGCGGTATAATCTGATTAGACCGAGAACCATAATTCGATCGATAATCTGATCGGACATTCTCCTATGAGACGCTATCGCGACCGACAATACTACGGTAGCAGTGATTTAAATGAAAGTTCGACACAATAAACGTAGCGGAAGAGTTTCAAGATTCGTTGTTGCTATTTATAATACATATAATATAATTACTGCATGAAAGGCTATTTAAAACGAAAAGTTATTTGATAAATGATACACTGAGAGAAAAATGTTTTGATATTTGTGCATGATAATGTGTTTAGAAACTTCATTTTTATATGGTTATTACTATTACAATGTTGCTAATAATAACCATATATGTATATAGTTCTTTCAAACATAAAAAGATTGTACTATAAATTATAATAATTTTAAATATTATAAAATATCAAGGTATAAATGATAAATAAAATAAATATTTTTATTCAGTAAATGCAATCGCAATAATTATAGTAAACTATTTTCTTAAATTCGCTTATTATTTATGTGATAATAATAACTATAAAATATATAAAAAAAATATTTTCAAACAGAGTATATGATTATTATTAATAGCATAATTAACTATATTTGCATTAAAATAATTATAATTGTTGAAAAAAAATGACTATACATTGTAATAATTCAACCATCTTTTCTCTCAGTGTAAATATACAAATATAAATATATAACTCTTAATACTAATATAACATTATATGACTCGAATAACCTTGTTTAAATAAAAAACTTGGTAGGTTTAATATATTCAGCAACATTTTCCGGCGATTTTTAATTCTCTCAACAACTTCTCTTCCAGCGAGGACTAAACTATCGTGCAACATCGAAACGCAGTTGATAGGAACGACCGTCGGTCGTTTTCGAATTATACTCTTCAATTACGAGCTATAAATCAAAGCACGATCAACGCTCGCCCTGTCGCAGGCGATTAAGCTCGCAGGTCGGTGTAGCTTGCATGCTGACGTGGTATGCATTTATGGTAATCGTGTACCTGAGCGCCTTCCCATTACGGTTGAAGGGCTGATGTTCGGCGAGCACGGGCGAATCCGTGTAGCACCGGCTCTCGGTCATAGCGACGACTACGGCATCGCAACTCTTCTCAATCGGCCCGTCGCGTTGACATCTGCAAAAAGAATAGAGCTACGATCAGAGATCGCACATAAAAGGGGATCTCGAAGTTTATGACTTGCGTTAAGGTAGTTTATCTGTACAGAGTATATCCCGCACATTATTTTTTAACGACGAAATCTTGGCGCAATTTAAAGTTAATTTTTTCTTGAAGACGTTGAGAATCGTAACTTCTCGATCTAGCGCCATTTTTTAATTTAGCTTTAAATTAGAGTGTTATCTAGTTTGAGACACAATTGAAAAGCACAGGCAATAAAAAGGGAATATAGATCAGGGAATATATCTGTTTTATCGACAATTGTATTCTTATCATGTGTTTAATGTCTCTTTCGAAATTCGTCAACTTTCATTTCAAGCGGAAAAACAAAAAACGAAAAAATAAAAGACAAGAGATAAAAGGTGGTAAAAAACAAGAAACAGAAAATAAAAATGTATGCAGATAAACCTTCAAGTTAAAACAAATTCTAAGTCTAAAAAATTAAATAAAAAATGTAGTTTTATAATTCACTTTAATCTAACTTAAAATAAATTTTAAGTAAAAAAAATTAAATAAAGAGTGTAGTGTTACCTATGTAATTCACATAAGTAACTAATCTTTTATTCCTCAATTCCTTGTAAAAAATAATCAGTATCTTATTTCTCATTTAATCTTGTAATTATCAAGCACGATTACATTCTACAATCGTTTTTGCGTCCATGGATGCGACAAGAAAAAAAAAAGTGGTTCCGGCCGGGATCGAACTGGCGACCTTCTGCGTGTAAAGCAGACGTGATAACCGCTACACCACGGAACCTTCGAGAAACTTCGGCCTTCGTGAAGAAAGTGCGTCCGAACGCGTGTCGAAAATACGCACAAGACGCACTGACTTTATGAAACCTGCGATACCTTAGTCCTCTTCGCCGAGCTCGATTGTTGCACAGCCCACGCAATAATTTCAACCTAACGGCCTCGACTTCGTAGTTTGCTTCGTCTGAGCCTCGACTTCGAGTATCTCGAGGCGCCACAACGATCCCGCTGTGCGTGCAACCCACGCACTTCTTAATTCTCATGTGGATATTTAAACGGAACCAACAAAGTTAAGACTATAAAAACTTTCGCGATATTTCCGATTATAATCCGATTATACTTTTCTATAAAATTTATGAATGTTTCGTACAATAAAGGTACCTTGTGTTTCTTAAAAATAGGTATTTCTCTCTCAATCTTTCTATCTCAACTTTAGACGTAAAGTTAAACTAACTCGTATCAAAATTCAGGAAAGAATTCTATTTATAATTTCATGCATCGTGTAACGTAAAAAATATTTAAAGTGTTAGGATATAACGCTCATATAAAATATATGTCGTATATTATACATATAAAATACATACACACATAAATATCAAAATACGTGATATAATAAAACAATTTAGATAGTATTTATAATTCGCGTCAGACTAGAATTTTATTTGTAATTTCATTTTGTATTACGAAAACATCAGAATGCACACGTAAATAAAACACATATTACAATATTTGATATATAAAGAATCATATAGCATATAAAATTATAAATACAATAGAATTCAATTCTGATATTTAATATGAATTATAAAGTCTAATGTTTATGAAGTACTATATTTTCTCGGATGAGATATTACGATCAATATTTTAATCTTCTTCAAAATACGACAAAAAATATCTACACATTTCTTACGCTAATTTAATAGTCACGCATTATACATATACGCGGGTAATCTATTATATGACTCTTTGCTTTCTGTTTCTTGCTTTTTACCATTTTTACTTCTTGCTCTTTTACTTCTTATCTTCTTCATTTTCTATCGTCCGAGATCAAAATTGATGAAACAGACAAAAAGCACGCAACAAAAAACACAACTTACATGACTGTTGATAAAATAATAGCGAAGAGGGAAAAATGCGAGATGTAAAAAGCAAGGAACAGGAAGCAAAGATCATATTGTAGATTAACCTCAAGTAGCGTGACGTACATAATACGAGATATATTCTTGATTTGGCGCCTCGTAAAGAAAATTGTGGAGCGTGAAGAGAGACGCCTATTAGGAAATATCGTTCTGAACAAGGCCTCTACAAAGTATTGATATTCGTAAATGCATTAAGCAACCGTACACAATAGCCGACTAATTTACATAAGTTATGCGCGAGAAAGTTCATTCCTCCGCCTACGGCGCGGCGGCAATCCATATGTGTACGCACGTTCGCGTGTACAGGCACGAGCACGCGACACATTGCGTGCGTAGAACGAGCGAGTTGTTTGCAGCCGGCGTATAATCAGATGCACCGCGCGATTTTAGGAGTCTCAGAAATGAAGAGACAATCGGTTTTTGACATAAGTATTCTCCATTTGAGAAAACTCATTTCATGAAATTAAATGTATACTGTTAGAAATGTTCTTAAATTTTACTAACTTCTAAGTTACACAATTTGAATTTAATTTCATGACATTACATTAAATTTAATGTATTTATAATTAAAAAGTATATTGGTGTACATGTACATAAAATTTAATGTATTTTTCATGAAAATTTATGAAATTTATTTACTTTTCATAAAATTTTATTAAAAGTACATTAAATTTCATAAATTTAATGTACACGTTCATTTCATTTAAGTAACTACTACTGTAACTTAATTTTCATTTAAATCATTCATTACTTTCAATGTTCAATTGTTTCGTAACCACGAACTTCATTTATATGTAAAGGAAGCTCGTGTTTACATTTCTAACAGTGTAGAGAACGAATGGCAATTTTGTAAAAAGTGGATCAACCAGAATGAATCTGGGAGATTTGTAAGCAATTAAATTTTAAAGTTAAAAATTGAACATTATAAAAGCGAATAAATAAATGTATTTTCTGTTGATTTCATTTTAAATACTTTTTATTTTATTTGAATATTTTATTTAAAATTTAGTTATATATTAAATACCAAATGTAAAAAGTTATGAATAGCGATTAATTAAATTCTCTTCCAAAAAATTAATTTAAAATTGATTAAAATTTTCCAATAGAAATAACGAGTAAAAGTTTTTAACTTTCATATAATTATACGTATTTTTTATTAGATATAACACTTTTATTTTAAAAGTTTTTTACAAGATAGCTTTGAAATAGAAAATTGTAAAAAATTTGTATAAAACTTATGTGTATAAATATATTTTATTAAAAAATTAATAAATTCCTTTGATAACAAACTAAGCGCTTTATCAATTTCTATTGGATGCTTCAAGAAATAAAAAAAATATAACAAATCAATGCAAAAATTTTATAAAACGAAATTAAAAATATCCTTTAGTATAAAATTCGGTGTAAGTTTAATTGAGTGTCATATTGATAGGTTTTATATTTTCTGTAATAAAAGCAAAAGCCTATACCAATAAACGAAGCGATGTAGTATGTATCAGTATATACCACATAAACATTATGTGGCGCGATGTACATTATAATAAATAAATAAATTATATAAACAATAATGTCTGATGTTGAATATGTGCTTTTCGCATAGGTATACACTATCGATTTCAATTAGCAAATTACACAGCGGCACAGATTTATTTACGCGGTAGTAATAGAAATTGTTTTAATTTTGATTCCGTACTCACACACAATTTTCCGTACTCATTATTAACAAATTATTGTAACATATATATATATACTCTAAAAAGTATCGATGTGGATTTAACACCATGTGTGTGTTGTGTGTGTTTATATAATTCTTACTGTAATAATGTGATAATAATGTAATAAAAATAAATATTAATATCAACTTGACCATGAATTTAACACCGTGAGTTTTTAATTCATGTTGATATAAATAGCAGAGATTATAATTTTTTAGAGCGTTGATATCGTATATTCTGAATCTGCAACTAATTACGAATACTAATTACGTCATTAAGACGACCTTGACCCTGCATAATGACAAGAATATACACTCCGCGGGGAAAACATCAATAGAAATATGATAATGATCGTAAATTACACGTCGACAGCTCGCGTACGGCTTTGTGAGTTAATTGATCAACCAGCTGCAACGTATTTCACGTTGTCGTAAGCTTTAAAATAATATAATACTACCGAGACGCGCGCGAATAGATCATGCCTGCGATTCTATTTAAACAAAACTATTTTGATAAATAGAATTGATGTGTAAAACGCGTTTAAAAAGTTCCTGAACTTAATTTCTATTTTTGAAAATTTTATTTATTAGATCTTTGTACATCTATGAGGAATGTACTTAAAAAAGAATATACATGAAGCGTGTTTCGTTAAAGGCAGATCATTAGCAGTAAATGATAATTGTGTGCATAAATACAATATAACATTCCAGCGCATTAGATGTACTAAACTCTACAAAATTTCAATTTTAATAAAAACGGCGGTAATATTCGCTCCAATTGTTGTAATTATGATTAAAATAATCTCCGATATTGCATCAAATTTCACATACAATATTGATTAATATCTATCATAAAATACTTCATCACACGCTTACATATAGATACACGTCAGTGATAATACGTTACAAAAGGCAAGGGTGAATTATATGTGATCATAATCCGTGACGAAGTTATGACGACTACACAGCTGTACGTCAGATGTGCAGTGAGCTTATCAAATTGAAACTTCCTCATGCGATGTTGTTCTTGGGATTTCGGGTGTTACGAATTTCTGCTTCGATGCTTGCCCGTTGAAAATTTATAAAAAAGAAAAGTAAATCTTCATTTACTATTGTCGCGAAAAAGTTATTTTTCTGTCAAAAATATTTAACTATAAAAGTTATTAAAAAATGCTCTAAAAAGTAATAAATTTATAAAGAATAACATGTACGGTATTACATTTTTATAGAATTAAACAAAACGCAATTTTTCAGAAGGCTTATTCAAAAGAAACTAAATTGATTTTCATTATTCACAATTGCACAAAGATTAGTAAAATAATTTGTGCATTTCAAACACGTAATGTTTGGTTTCA